TCACAACTAGCTACACTAAAGAGCTTGATAACTAGTTTGTGGTAATGTAAGAGTGAGCAAGAGAGTTATACCACCGTGTAGTGGTAGGAACCAATCAATCACAATAATAAATACCAATGTAGACCAATCACCTCGGAATCAAATGATGAACACAATGATTTTTACCGAGGTTCACTTGCTTACCGGCAAGCTAGTCCTCGTTGTGGCGATTCACTCACTTGGAGGTTCACGCGCTGATTGGCATCACTCGCCAAACCCTCAATAGGGTGCCGCACAACCAACACAAGATGAGGATCACACAAGCCACAAGCAATTTACTAGAGTACCTTTTGGCGCTCCACCGGGGAATGGTCAAGAACCCCTCACAATCACCACGATCGGAGTCGGAGACAATCACCTCCTCCACTCAACGATCCTTGCTGCTCCAAGCCGTCTAGGTGGCGGCAACCACCAAGAGTAACAAGCGAAATCCACAGCGAAACACAATCACCAAGTGCCTCTAGATGCAATCACTCAAGCAATGCACTTGGATTCACTCCCAATCTCACTATGATGATGAATCAATGATGTAGATGAGTGGGAGGGCTTTGGCTAAGCTCACAAGTATGCTATGTCAGTAGAAATGGCCAAAGATCTGAGCCACAGCCGGCCATGGGGCTTAAATAGAAGCCCCCACGAAATAGAGCCGTTGTACCCCTTCACTGGGTACTCTGCGCTCTGACCGGACGCTCCGGTCCACTTGACCGGACCCTGGACTCAGCGTCCAGTCCACAGATGGACGTCACGTGTCGTTGGCTTCAAACGCTGTTCGTCAGATTCCAACTGCTATGACGCTGACCGGACGCTCCGGTTAAAACTGACCGGACGCTGGAACCTCAGCGTCCGGTCGAGTACAGTAAGGGTCAAAACCTGGTTTTCCTCGACCGGACGCGTATCACCTCGACCGGACCCAAACCCATCTCAACCCTGCAAACACCACCTCCTTTGTAAATGTGCCAACACCACCAAGTGTATCACCTTGTGCACAAGTGTTAGCATATTTTCACAAACATTTTCAAGGGTGTTAACACTCCACTAGATCCTAAATGCATATGCAATGAGTTAGAGCATCTAGTGGCACTTTGATAACCGCATTTCGATACGAGTTTCACCCCTCTTAATAGTACGGCTATAAATCCTAAATGTGATCACACTCTCTAAGTGTCTTGATCACTAAAACAAAATAGCTCTTACAAATTATACCTTTGCCTTGAGCTTTTTATTTTTCTCTTTCTTTTTTCCAAGTCGAAGCACTTGATCATCACCATGCCATCATCTTTATCATGCTATGATCTTCATTTGCTTCACCACTTGGAGTGTGCTACCTATCTCATGATCACTTGATAAACTAGGTTAGCACTTAGGGTTTCATCAATTCACCAAAACCAAACTAGAGCTTTCAGCCATTTTCAGCCAATTTTGGCTGGGTCGTGGGGCTCGTTTTCTTCTACTTATTCCTTCTCTGGCCCTCGACCCAACTCTCTCCTTCTCTCCCAGTCGACGCCGACGCCCGTGCTTCTCTTTTCTTCTCTCTCAAGCACGCGCCGCCGCCGTTCTTCACGACCTGCCACCCCGGCAGTGCCTCCCCTGCAGCAGGTCGAGACTCTTCTTTGCTGGTCACTACAGGAGGCTCCTGGCCAAGCCGTTTCTTCTCTTCTCCCTCCACTCCAACGGTTTGGAAGCAAGGTGAAACCATAACCCCTTTTCGATCTATGCAATGTGAAGCCTTTAGTCATGGATTTCAGTTTCTAGGGGGGAGTATGAAGGGTTTAGAAAGGTTTTTGATGGTTGAATCGAGTTGATTTTGGATTTCACCGGTTGGATGATTTTGTGGAGAGCGACAATGACGCCCATGGGACCAGTAATGGCCCCGCAGTAGATTCTAACTGCTATACTCAAGTTCATACATCCGATAAAGTTCAGAATGGATTGGATTCACTTATCAAAGATTGTTTCTAAAATTTTCATACTCAATCTTTTAAATCCAAGGCTAGGGTTTCATGTATTCTTTGCTTAGACTGTGATTCTAAAATTGTGATGATAAATAGACATTGTTGGAAATAGGATTTAACCAGAACGAGAAAATTGAAGATGAAATAGTGAAGCAACTGAGGGCGGCAGTGTCAGCCTCAAGGGGCGGTAGTGCCGCCCTACCATGCTGATTCCAAATCCAGCACAGCTTCCTATATCATCTTCAAAATTATTTTTCTTATTAAAACCTGCCTGCAGCAGTGTCTAACTCATTATCTTATATAGTTTCTTATCAAGTCTCATTAGATAGACCGTGGAAAAAGGAAGGTGTTGACAACCAAGTAAAAGGTCAAAAGAGGCAGGGGACAGGCAAGCTATACTCCTAGAGACAGAAATCTTGATGAAGATCTTGCTGAAGAGGAAAATATTCAGAGAATGGGAAGAACCATTCATGTGTGGCCTGATTCTCCTTTACATCTTTCAGAGTTTGATAGCAGCTACATGAGAGATAACACTGATAGGTTCGACCTCATTCCTCCCTAAAACAGTGATGGTCATAGGGTTGTTTATTATTCCATGAGTTGGAAGAAAACAGGTGAAGCTAGCGAGATTGATCCCTACTCCTCTGATAGATCCGATGGCATTGATTATAGATTTTGGAATGCTTTCCAATCTGATTTTTATACTACAGCCATTCTATCCAAGTCAAAGGGCAAGATTAGCAAGATGCAGTACATTGACTTTGGTGACTTGGAGAGCAGGAATGATCATCAGTTTGCTACAGCAATCAAGACCTGTGACCGCTTTGAGATGACAGACATCATGAGTTTCAGGTATGATTGGAACAGGGAGATTCTTGCTCAGTTTCATGCCACTTACTTTTGAAACAGGGAAATGGATGAGCTTCATTGGATGACTGATGGGCGACATTATCGTATTGATTTTGTCACCTTTTGTCGTATTCTTGGTTTTGGTCATATCCACAGGGGATATGAAAGGATACATAATGAGCGTCGTCTTGAACCAATGGAAGTAAGCTTCATGTGGGAGGATCAAAATCTGGCAGTTCCTGATTGGTCAAGGACAAAGCTCAAGAGCTTTTATTACATCATGAATAATCTTTTCAGGATCACTCTCAATCCTAAAGACAATGCAACAGACTTGAATGACTATATTACTAATATGTTGTCTAGGTTTCCCAGCAGTGAAAAGTTCAATGTTCCAAGATTCATTTGGGTTGAGCTAGCTTATGCCATGGATGATGGGAGGACATCTTTGCCCTATGCTCCTTACCTCATGTTTATGATTGAGAGAGTGACTGGCATGTGGTTCCCTAAGGATTGTGAGCACACTGTTTACAAGATCAAGAAGACCCATGGTGGCTTAGAGGGACTTGGTTCAGCTACTCAGCACACTAGTTCTGGAGGACTTAGAGATAGTGGGGCAGCAGGCCTTCACCCTTCTAGAGCCGCACAGAGAGATATTCCTGAGCCGTCCAGGGCTAGGGAACAAAAGAAGAAATCAAAGTGCGGAAAGATGAGTGCATGGATGAAGGCAATCTTTGCTCATTGTGCATATACTTCACAGACTGTTTATGAGGATAGAATGGAGAACAGAGAAGCTGTGAGGCATGCTAGGGAGATGGCAGGGCTGCCACCACTTCCACCAATGCAGTCGCCACCTCGGTTTCCTGACTTGCCTCGTCTTTCTTCTTCTGATGAGGAGCAGGATCAGTCACATGAGCACTATGATGAGCAGCAGGATGATCAGCAGCATGAGCACTTATATGAGCCATTCAGTCAGTACTATGGATATCCACAGGGGCCTCCCATCCATAAGCACACCATATCAGGAGCATGGGAGGGAAGGGAGCTCACCTTGGGGACTTGGGGTGGCCGATGGGGAGGGGTTCCAGTCGAGGACGAGCAGGACGGCGGCGGCGAGTCGACGACGAGCAGGACCGGCGGCGCGCGAGTCGGGGACGAGCTTGGACGAGCAGGGGAGGACCAGAGGAGGAGCAGGACCGGCGGGAGGAGTAGGACCGGCGGGGAGGAGGTCGTTCGGCGGGATGGACCTCGCCCGGCGAGGAGGACCGGCGGCGGGGATGATCAAATCTTACGCGGGGACGAGCGAATGGCGCCGCGCTCCCTTCTAATCCTCCCGCGCCTGGGTCTCATGGCCGCGCGCGGGCCTGGCCGCGCGGGAATTCCTCCCGCGCTCCGATTTGGCGCGCCAAAATTGGCCGCCCTCGAGCTCGCGCTCATCTCGCGCGCCTACGGGCCGCGTCCGCGCCCGCCTAGCGCCGCGATGCGCGACTATGCCCCTAGTCGCGGCGACGGGCTTCGCCCAGCGACTAGGCGCGCGTAGTCGCCGAGTAGTTGCCGCCTAGCCGAACTTTGTTCAGCGTACCAGCATGTTAAAGCCTATGTTACTGTAACGAAAAATCCATGTTTTACTCTTATGAATATGCTACTAGTCAGCTAGAATTATGCAATTTTCTCAACCAGATATGCAACAACAATTTGAGAATACATCTGATCTAGAAGAATCATAAGGAGAAAGGAATATTGAAAAAAAAAACTATGGATGAGAGGAGAGGGAGCTTTGTTCGTGGTAACCAAGTTCCTTGTCATGGGGGTGAGGTGATGTGCTCGAGGGCTACATGCCAGGAGGCATGACCCATTTCGCTAAATAAACTGTTAGGACATTCTGAAAATTGGTGCATATCATGATTTCAGAAAATTAAGAAGGTTAATTCAGGGACGGAGTGTGGGACGTGGGATGCTTTTGAAATCTGGAATGTGATGGTTGTGTTAAAAAAGTGTTTTTTTTTCTCTCTGGTTACTTTAAATGTTTCTCTGATAAAATAAATGGTTCTTTAGCATCTATTAAGATGGTTCAATAATCACAATTGTACATGGACCTAAAAAAGATATCATCTCACTGATTTGTGCTTCCTGGAGACATCACTCTGCAACACAGCCAGGCTACTAAACAGACGGACCCTCATTGGATTTTTCTTGCATCTTGCCTAGAGAATTATCTGCTTCCAAGTCCAGCTTATTTATGGCTTTCTCCAAATAATCAAGAAGAACTTTTGACAGTGAACACCTCAATGCGATGGATGCCACCTTTCGTGAGATACGTGCAGCTCGCATTTTCAAATCTTCCGTCTCAGTTCCTTCTTTCTCAATATAAAATCCTCTTTTTGCATATTTTGTCCATCTGTTCAGAATGTATTGCGATGGCAAAACGAAAACATCATTCGCATTGAAGACTTTTAGAGCATGCGTGCACAATATACCTATAAGATAAGGATGACACTTTTCATCATATTGTATTAGAAACTACATTGTAATTTAAAATGTGTTTACGTACCTATGGATTCATACTTCCTGCAGGAACATGTAATGGTCATATTTTCCTTGTTGAATACAACCGTTGCTCCATGAACAGATTGCATATGCATAACCATATATGTCAAGTTGGACCCATCAGCTTGTAACAGCTTACAAGAGAATGAAAATTGTTGTTTAAATTCTTCCTCAAACTCTGAATACACCCTCCTTGTATATGGTTTTGCTGCAGTCTTCAACAGAGGTAGATTCGGGATGTAAATAACTGGGTTCTTTCGACGTGAACTAAAATCCGCATCTAACTCATTTTCACGAAGACTAGCAGAAACCTTCTCATATTCCACAAGTAATTCCGAAAAAGTGAGTTTCCTACGAAATTTTTTCTTGAAAACATTTTTCATACCTTCGCTCCTATGAGTCAAGGTCATATCGGCTGTAAAAGAGTCATTGTACACAGCAGCCCACTTTTTCCTCAAATTATAAAGGTCTGCCATCCATTGGTTGTCCTCGAGATTATATTCAGTCACCAAATCATGCCACATCTTGATGAACAAAGTCTCTGATCTATCTTCATAGACACATCTCTTAAAATCATGTAGAAACTTCTCAGAATGCTTCTGAATTACATGCCCGAGATGTTTAGCAGAATTAAGACAGATTTGCCACAAACAAAGCCGATGGCTTGTATTTCGGAATACATAAGCTATTGCTCCTGCCATGGTCGCATCCTAATCAGTGAAAATTGTGCTTGGATGCTTGCCTGACATTGCTATTAGAAAGGTTTCAAAGAGCCAAACAAATGACTCAACACTCTCATTGAATATTAGTCCAGCCCCAAAAATTATTATCTGCATGTGATGGTTGGTTCCAATTAGCGGAGCAAAGGGCATTTCAAGCTTATCAGTCTGAAACGTGGTGTCAAATGACACAGCATCACCAAAGCAGGCGTAATCCATAATAGACTGACTATCAGCCCAAAAGAAATTAGCTATGTGACCATCTACCTCATCTACTTGAATGGCATAAAAAAAAGGTAGGGTCCTCTATCTGCTTATTCTTCAAGTACTCTAACAGTGTTTGCGCGTCATTGGGTTCTAAGTACTTCTTGCGCTGCCAACCAATCTCATTATTGCAACCCATCCTTGGGAATGGCATTTTGTCAGCTCCTCCGTAAAACTCCTTCATGAACTCATACACCTGGGCTGGCTTCATCCCGGCTTCCCGTATCTGACTAATTAGTCTCTTGTCCGCTTCTATAACACGTCGTTGGGACCTCAGTTTGTGCGACTTATTTGGACTAGCAAGATCATGATTGTGATCAAGTACAACCTTTTGTACTCTCCATGTCCCCTCTCTGTTGACACTAAATTGAATACGGGCATTGCAACCTGTTCTTTTAGCATCCTGTGATGACTCAGTTTCTCGATGAATACGGGCATTGCAACCTGTTCTTTTAGTGTCCTGTGATGACTCACTTTCTCGATATCCTTGGTTACTGCAAACTATATATTTCTGAGAAATAGAACCATCTACTCGGCGCTTTGTATGGCTCTTTCTAACACTGAACCCAACCTTACCGGCATAGGTATTGTACATCTCATAAGCTTGGTCCTCTGATTTGAAAGCCATCCCAACTTCAGGAACGATCAAAGTTTGCCCAGCTTTATCAACCATCTGTTGTACAAAAGAGTTGAAGTTATATATATTACCAAAATACGAAATATCATTTGGTCGCTCCAATATGTTACGTTTCATTACCTCATCTGGTGCTTCATCTTCTATTGCTTCCATCAAAAGGGCGTGCCCAGTGCAGAGAGCTCCCGCTCTGTACGGGGTCTGGGGAAGGGTGTTAGTGGCAAGCCTTACCCTCGCCTGTGCAATGCGAGGAGACCACGACTCGAACCTGGGACCTTCCGGTCACAGGCGTGATGATCTAAAATGATGGAAAAGGAACCCTTGATTAATCCAAATTCAATCCAACCCAGTTCACCCCTTGATTAATCCAAATCCAGTCCAAAGCGCAGACTAACTCTGTTCTAATATCGACTGACTAACACCTCAGATCTGAAATGGCAGAAAAGTAACAGTACAAGATGTAAGATTCGTACAGCCATTATCTATATTTGATTTTTTTTTAAACATCAGGAATTGCGGGTTCCTCTTACGGCACGGATTATCTCAACAAATCTGCAGCTTATCTTTCATGTACACGAGTTATTAGGTGAAGTGACCGGACAAAGAAAGTATTAGGGAAATAGATAAAAAGATGCCCAGTGAGTGATGATGATGCGATGATGCTTTTCACAGTACAAGAGAGCCAAAGGATATAAGCTGCTGATACTAGTGGCAAACTTATGGCTTAGGGATTAAGAGATTGTGCTTTCACCATTGACACCCCTGTATGGTGTGGTCTGGTCTCCCTCAGATTTCAATTTTCAAGGAAACAAGTGCAGGTGTCCCTTTTCAACGTTAACTATCCTGAAAATGAAATGTTTAGTCCCTAACCACTAGCCTTGTTTTCTTCTGAAATGGAATCCATAACAGAAGGTAGACAAACAGATAGAGTGGAAGTTTTTAACGTATGTACCACCAGCATAGAAACGACATATGCTTGTCATATCATTAGTGGTAAAAGGGGATCCTCGTAACATCAGAGCCAGATGTCATGCTAAAATGTCGCTAGTATGTTGTAAACTTTGTTCTCTCACTTCCCAGTTCGACAACCTAATAGATCCGTTTTCCGGCAAACCAGAATTTGCTAACTTCTATTAGTACCCATAAACGCAACGCAACGCAGCTTCCTGTTCGCAAACCAGAATTTGCAAGTTCTAGTACCCATAATAAGCAACGCAACGCAGCCTCCTGATCGCAATAGACGGTTTGTATTTGAGCAGGGGATCCCGCGGAACAGGACGCACCATCCATCCAAGCAACCAAGCGAGATTAGGCTCCTTACCAGGTGAGGAAGAAATTGACGGGTCCCGCCCCACTCCCGTCCCTGCGCCGGCCAGTACAGTGTACAGAATAGCGCCAGGAGGAGAAAGAGGACCGCACGTTCCTTCCTCGCCACTGCCGCGGCGCTAGGGAGAGAAGGGGCCGACCCGGACCCAACCTGAAGGCGTGGTGGGGCGGCCGCCCCGGCTCCCGGCGAGCAGTCACCACCTTAACCTACCGGCGAGCGGTGGCCCGTCGAGCGTCCTGGACGGCGCCGTGGAGAAGAAGTGCTTTTTTTTATCACTGGAGAAGAAGTGCTTAGAACGCTGAGAACCAACACAAAGGGTTATGGTCTTTGGGGCTTATTGCTAGTCACTGGGCCAAAGCCCAAAACAATGTAAGCAGACCCTTTCCAGCCCATCGACCGCTTCGGCCAGCTCAGCACCTACACTGGGTTAACACTGCTCCACTTGAATAAGGCTGCATTTGGATCCAGATTCTTGTAGCCAGATTCTCTGGACAGACGTTTGAGATGATTAATTATAATCAGTTTATGAGATCGTTTGGCTAGTAGATTAGATTCTGATCCACGAGAAAATATATATTTTCTTAAAAATCGTATAAATAAAAATATATTTCGAAAATCAAAACTTTTTGTGGCTAAAGAATAACTTAAATACAACCCATTTTTAACTTGTTGCACCAAAAAAGAATTACAACTGAAGAAAATATTTCTTAGCACAGTCGTAGATAGAGAAACAAAAGTGATTCTCTTAGGAAACCAACCTTTTACCGTTTCAATCTAGTAGTGTAAAAACCAGAAACGTTTTACGTTGATTCTTGGAGAAAGGTTTCTCAGACTCCACTGTTTGGAAGCGATTCTTGTGTTTCAAGCAAAGTGATTTATAGTTTATTGTATGAAATATGACATCCCGTGGTCCTTTACCAGATGTCGTATGAAATGGTACAACACCTAGCTGGCGGGTGATCTGCCATCCTATCGATGTACTAGTATACTTTATTTTTTAAACGTAATTAACACTTTTTATATAGCATTTTTTTACAACAACTTTTTGCATAGCATTGTTCCACACGCAATGCTACACACAACATAGAAAAAAAAAGAAACTGAAGTCGTCGTATACATGTGTATACTTACCTAACCTACCCTTCATTGCGAGCCAGGTAAGGTCAAGATTCAAGGAAAAAAATGGGTGCGAAATCTTATTTATTTCAGACAAATAAACGTGACGTAACTGCATTTTTGGCTTCATGAAGATTAAAATATGGGCATGGAATGGTCAGTGTCGACTGCCAAATTAGTGGCCCGCTACCAGACACTGGACACGAAGCATATATCCTCGGCGTCTCTGATGGGCAAAGCGTACCGACCCATTCCATAACCCCTGCATTGGTTTGTTTGTTTCCATTTGTCTCGTTTTATTATTTCATATTTATATAGTCAGTCAGGTACTCCATGCCCATAACTAAAACTTGATGCAATCAGTTCCACTCTTAAGGGCGAGATTATCATAATTTATAAGGGGTTGGTTATCCCGTCCATTCGGCTGCCTGCAAAGCGCTGTCTGTGTTGTAGTGGCCTTGTCGCCGTCTTCATTTCCTTCAAAGGAATCCCTCGTCAGACAACAAACAAATTGGCTGTGTTTGGGCATTACTACAGGTGTTTCATAAGCATGCATAATCTGGTGCCTGGTAGAGACTAGAGAGAGACGTGAGAGAGGAGAAAAATAGACACTTTTTCCGGTTTGTTGTGATGTGTGCATTTCCCCCCCAACTTTAGATGATGCATGACTTCCCTGCCTGCCTGTTGCCGTTCACATTTGAAATTTGGATGCGGCAGCAGTCTCCCTTCTCTGCGCATTTTCTGAAACTCACTCATGAGGGTTTCAGGGTTTGGCCTAACAGCACGTTGTGTTTAATGTGAAGTACGAGATTGACACAAATGTCCAGCACTGCATTCTGCAGAGACCAACGGGCAACGGAAGGGGAAAAAGGACGATGTGCTCATGACAGCAATTTCTCTGCAATTACCTAGGCCACGTTTAGTTTCACCGAAATTTAAAATTTAACACTATACAAAAAGAAGATTCCCCATCACATCAAACTTACAGCACATGCATAGAATACTAAATGTAGATGAAATCAAAAACTATTTGCACAGCTTGGTTGAACTTTGCGAGACGAATCTTTTGAGCCTAATTAGTCAATATTTGGACAATAATTCACAAATACAAACGAAATTGCTACAGTGTTCACCTTCACATCCAACACTGTGCAAATGCCGAATCGGCAGCGATCTAAAAGCAGCCCTAACTGAAGATCATGATTCAAACCAAGGTCCTGTTTAGTTCACCTAAAATCCAAACTTTGATACCATGCAAAAAAAAGATTTTTCGTCATATCAATTTTACGGTACATGCATGGAGTACTAAATATTGACGAAATTAAAAACTAATTGCACAGTTTAGCTGTACTTTACAAGACGAACGTTTTGAACATAATTAGTCAATGTTTTAAGCATAAGTAGCTACAGTACCCCATGAAATCCGGCGGCGCCGAATTGGGGACCAACTAAACGTGGCCCAACTGCTTCAGGGTTATTGTGCAGGCCCCGGCTTGTCTGTCTGCCATGCTTCTCAAACGGAGATACTCTTTTCGCGGTGTTGTCCAAATCCTAGAGCCTAGCAGTAGCAGGTACTATAACACCACATGTCCTTTCAGAAAGGAAATCATATCACACCACGACGCATGAACTGCGGCCAAAAGAAGAGCTGCTGCTGCCTGCTGGTACACCGAATGATGAAAAGGTACTGCTCGACTTTCAGAAGTACGCAAACAGGGCCGGTGCTGGCTGCAATGCGAGTGTGTTTAGTTGCATGAAGAATTAGGGCCTCACTGTAGTTCTTTCGTTTTTATTTGGCAATTAGTGTTCAATCATAGACTAATTAGGCTCAAAATATTCGTTTCGTAATTTTCCATCAAACTGTGCAATTAGTTTTTTTTCGTCTATATTTAATACTCCATGCACAAGCCGTAAACATTCAATGTGATAGGTACTATAGCACTTTTTGGAAATTTGGGGTGGAACTGAACACGTGCTTAACCTGGGAAGAGGCCATCAAGATTTTGCAGATAAAGATGCTTTTTTGCCTGGACAGGAGTACAGGGCTGCTCGCCTAGGCATGATCGGCCGGCCAATCAGCGGTTTCAGCATGCAGTCTGGTGCACTGAACTGACTCACTACTAGTTAGTCTATATTAAAACCACGTAGACGTAGCACCCTAACCGAAATGTTCTGGTGCTCTGAACCGGGAAGAAGGAACAGAGCAATGCAGGTAGTTGCATGGCAAAAATTCTAGAGATTATCGCTCCGTTCGTTTTATTTATAAGCTATATTTTTTTCAATCAATGAATAATATTTTTCTCTTATAATAAATTAGTCAATAATACTTTCAGTCATAGCCCATTATATATATATATATATATATATATAAAACAGGTTTGTTACGCCCATGAAGAAAATCCATCTTGCTTGCACGCATGAAACGCCGAAACTACGACGTATGTTGCCCTTAGCCCTTTAGCAAGTGGATCCATGGGTGTACATGACATGCATCCTGCCGACGTACAAGCTAATTGTCCTGTTCGCTTAAGCTTATTCAGCATTATTTTTCAGCTATGGAAGAGTATTTTTCTCTCATAACATTTCAGCATAAGAATCAACATAAACCAAATTTCAGCATAAACGAACAGGGTGAATAACTTATGCCTTACATGATCCTCTTTTTACTGTAACTAATAACATGCGTGATTCCAATAGTGAAACCATGACGGAATGTATGTAAAAAAGATTTATGAAAATACAACATTTTTGTTGTCTCTTATCCAGTGAAATTCTCTCCACCTGCCTTTGAATTGAATTTAGTGAGCATGTTATAAGAAAAAATAAACCCAAGTGTTTTACAGTAGAGGAGTTCCAAAAGATTAAATATGTTGCAAAAATTGGGGTGAAGTATTCCTTCCCCACACTCAGATTTCCAGTTACATCAATTTTACATATAAATTAAATCAAAGTAATCATCGTAACTCAGTACAATTGTAGAGCCAAGTTTAAATCCAGCATAAGTTGGCTGGAACTAAAGTTGTGGTGTGCAAATCAATTTCCTTTACATGCATAGTATTTAAACAAACTCTAAGAGACTCTTCGTATCTTTCCGTCTTAATATGAATAGAGATTTTGTTGGGAAAAAAACTTCCAACATCTTCTTCAACTATATCTCTAAATATTGCCATTCTCTGTCCCGTATTTCTCACTAGCCGAGGATCAAGAGTGAGGGTGACTCTCTAGAGTGTACGCAAAAATATAGAGAAATTATTGGAGGGTGAAAAAAAGTGATTTTTATTTAAATAGCTCTTCAAACGAGCATTCATAGACTGAATTTTAAAGAGTATTGAAGAGATGCTCTTAGGAAGTAGAAAGAAAAAAAACAAATATTGGAGTGCTGAGGGTGAAGATTATCACCTAGGCGGCACGGTTGTAGACAATCCGAAATACAAACATGAAACTTTTATATGACGATACAGTAAAAATTAGTGGTTTTTTTTTTGACGATATATGTTATTCTGGTAGTGAAGAAGACAGAGCTTGCACTTGCACTTTTGTCTCGATGCCAATTTTCCCTGGCGCAGATGGCGTGAAGGTCAACTTTGCTTGAGACGACGATAAACCACCACTCCAGCTGAGGTTATTATTGTCCACAAGGCAACCAATCTAGCGATAAATAACTGCACTAATAATATTTTTTAAAACCAAAAGCGAAAAATATAAAGCGACAGCACGGCCCCGCACGCACGGCACTTCCGAGCGATTTCCTCGTCATTTCTCTCATCCGCTCCCTCTCCCACTCGGACAGGGGGGAAAAGCTCGAAAGCGCAAGCCGGCGAGCGAGATGGGCGCCGGGAGCAGCCGCGCGGACGCCCCGTCGAGGCGCCGGGCACGCCTCAGCCTCGGCAGGTGCTTCGGGGCCGGATCCTCCTCCTCCTCCTCCGCCGCCGCCGCGCACGACGGCGGGAGCTTCACCGCGGCTGGGCCCTCCTCCTCGCGCGCCATCGAGGTATTAGTCCGGTAGTCCCGCGCCGCGTCGTCGTCTGGCGTCCCGGGATGCCGGAGAGCGCCGGTAGCTCCGGCACCGCTGGGGCCTGGCCTTGGCTGCGGATTAGTCTGTGATGAGGTGCGAATTCGCCGCGGGTGGAATCGATGGTTCTGACTTATGAGTTTCAGACGCCCTCCGCCCCTAGGTTGTGACTTGTGAGATTGGAGAGCGTGGTTTTGTGTAGCTGTATGGACGGCGAAGGAGAAACTTGACTTAGCTTTTGGAGCTTTGAGCTGGTAGTATTGCTCTTGTTCGATTATATGATTAGTCTGGAGCAGTTGGCTAATGCTCTGAAACTTTGGTGGTCCTACAACCTTCATTACATATATCTGCGACTTGCAAAGCATGAATTATTGCATCTGGTCTTATCATGCGCCCTTCCATAATGCTCATGAATAAAGAGCAGATGGGGCTGGGCCTATGACAAACTAAAGCAATTTTGTGGAATCTGAAACATTATATGTGTTTTTCCAAGTGTTTTCTGTTAGTGACAGAGTGACTTTCGTCCCCATGTATGTATTGTTTCTATGCTGGTATCTGATGTCAGGAATGTATTGTCTACAGGTACAATCAGGGCGACCAGTGAGTGCCCTGAATTTTCAGGCTTCTCTAGCTGCTAAGGATCTCCAGATTTCCAGTGAGTCAAATCCAAGGCTGCATTCCTCTTCAAGCACCATAAGCCATCATCTCAGATTCAATCATCTCAATTGTCATGAGAACAAGGAAGATGGCCTGGGGACTGAAAACGCTGAAACAAGTGGCCTTGAAAGCTCATCTAGGAAAGCTGTCCATGGTTAGGGGAAGTCTCAGTAATGAAGCTGTTAGCAGTGATGTATCAGGAGAAGGAATAAGTTTTATAGGATCAGAGCTGGAAAATGTTCCTAGCACAGTCTCCACTAATGAAATTGGTGGCTCAACTTCTGAATCTGGTTTGGGCCCCTCGTTGATGACATCTGAAAGGATCATGTCTGACTTAGAAGGAGAGATATCTCCACAAGGGATCTCATCCACAACTGTCATGACAAGTGAAAGATCTGATGTATCTCAATCTAGCTTAACATCTATGTTTCCAAACTCTTCAACTTCATCATCTGCGACTGTGGAACCAATGCCAGATCCGATCCCTACCAGAGCAGATGTCCCCATATTCAGTGGGCCACATGGTGAGACTGGAGGGAGTATATTACATGATGACATGATGAGCATTTTCTCAAACGACGGTCTAGGACGCTCTAGAGATTCTAGCAGCAGTGAAACAAGGAGGAGTCACAGAAGGATTCTATGGGATGCATTTTCCAGGCACGGCTCAAGAGGTTATCCAGAATCTGATGCTGATGACCTTGGATTTTACAGTACATGGCTAGACCTTGGTGATGACATTTTTGAAGAGTTGGGGGAATCAAGATATTTTCATCGCAGGCGACATGGTTCAATCAGAGTAAGCCAGTATTCAAGATCCCGGGTAATTGTTATGCCTGCTTTGTCATATATTTTTCCTGTTATGGATTTTGCTGATCCATCTCATGGTCACACCTTATTCTTCTTTGTTACAGATTAGGGAGCATCGCCGTGCTGTTTTTGATAGTGGTAATGAACAAAGCACTGCGGCATGTCCTTTGGGGATTCATCCAATTGGCCGATGCACCTGTGATTCTTTCTTGATTGCTGAAGAATCTAGTACCCGAGCAAGTATATCAAGAATTGTCATGTTAACTGAGGCGTTATTTGAGGTATCCTTTCCTTCGTGTTCATTTGATTATCGTCAGCATTAACATTCTATATGATGATGACGTAATAAGTCACAGAATACAGGGGCAGAATTTTTGCACTGCTGTTATGCTTTTGATGATGTTATGTCATTTACATATGTATTCTAGCAACTTTTACGATTGAACTCCAGTTCCAAACTTTAATCTTATAATGTTATAATTTATTTTGGCCTATTTGAATTGGTGCTAATCATTTCTGCTGTAGTTTTGAAATTGCATAATTTGCACCCCCAAAAAAACATATATACTAGTATAACATGTCAGAAGAACAAACAAGTAGCCCCCAAAAAAAAAAAAAAAGGAAAAAAAAAGATGGCTTTGTGACAACAGAAAATTTTGTGAGGCCAATGGACATCAATAAAGTTTGCAGACAATCATTGGATGGTTCAGGCATGTTTGAAGCACAGCAGATAGACCATTTTTTAGAAGTAAAGTTGTACATTAGCTATAGAAATTCAGAGGAAATTGTTGGCAGTGTGTGAACTATGAACTCCATTGCTATTGTCACATTTTCAGTATATTACCAGTTTACTCTAGCTATGTAATAATGGCCTACATAATTCTTTTCAGGTGTTGGATGAAATTCACCGTCAACCTGCATCACTTTCACTTTCCATGGTCTCTGTTCAGGCTCCTGAATCTGTGGTTAATTCGTTGCCATGTAAGAGCTACAAAAAGCTTGAGACACCCCAATGCAGTGATGATATGGAACAGTGAGCTTCTCATCATTCTAATCTCTCTCTAAATTTTCTAAGACATAAGTTTTGCATAAAAAGTTTTGCAAAAGAAAACAGATCATATCGTGCTGACTGATAAGTTTTGCATCATACATTCTGTAGTATAATTGTGAGAGTTGCTTGGAAAGGAAAACATATCCCGCTCGCCTTAATGGGCATCAGTTTTTCCTTCCACATTTGTGATCAGTTAGACATCTAATGTTGGTTTTTACTGCCAACCTGTTATGTGTACCCTATAACCTTTGGGCTATCAAATAGCCTTGCATGATATTTTGTTGTATTTTTTGGTATCACAACTGCTGCGACCACCTTGCAGTGTAGATGCCTGCTGCCTAGCCCCATTCTTTTTGTTTTGTTTTTGTTCCCGCACCCCCCTTGTCATTCCTTTGGGGTTTCTGATGCTGAAACCTAACATGTCATTGTTTTTCGTCAGGTGCCATATCTGCCTAACTGAATATGAGGACGGGGACCAGATAAGAACTCTTCCTTGCAAGCACGAGTTCCACCTGCAATGTGTTGACAAATGGCTGAAAGAAATACACAGGTATCCATCCTGGTTTGTTTAGTTCTGCTATGCATTTGAATACTGTCAAGCAAGGCACAGGAAGCTTAGGCATCCCCTCCTCACAACGTTCCTGTCGTCACACTGCTACAGGGTATGCCCTCTGTGCCGTGGAGACGTCTGCGAAGTCGCCTCGTGAAGACCTTGGGCGCTGCCATCCCTCCTTGCGGCACCGACGGAGGCATCATCCCCCGCTGCTCCGTGGTTCGGCCAGGCAACGGCGACCGTCAACTTGGACAGATGACACCGCAAGAGCATATCAGCTTTGACTGTCTCCCTGCCGAAGAGAATTGCCAAATCCTGCGACCGATGCGTCGTTGTTCCTGTCATCAACTTTTAAGATATACCAGACTTTGTATATAGCTTTTGTAGCCTCCCTGTGAACCTGTACATACTTGTAAATTCTAGATTCAAAATTCTAATCTCCCTGATGAAGCGTAGCTATTTGGGTCAGGTAAATGAATCCCAGCATCCGTCAGCGTATCTTTTCATGCTCCGAATTGGCCCTTGATTAGTTGCTCGTGACTTTGGCACTATGTAAAAAAAAAATTTTTCGTCACATCAAAAAGAAATTTTTTCGTCACATTAAAAATATGTGGTACATGCATAGAGTACTAAATATAGATAAAATTAAATTAAAAACTAGTTACACCAGTTAGGTTGTACTTGTACTTTTAACGAGACTGAACAGTTAGGTTGTAATTGTACTTTTAACGAGACTGAACGTTTTGAGACAATTATTGCGGCCAACTAAACAAGGCCTTCAACGTGGTCTGAATTTTTAAATTTTATGTAAAACATAGCCTAAATAAAGAGTAGTTGAAGGGAAAAAAACACTCACTAACGATCTTGCCTATCCCAACTTTGTAATATCCTAAATAAAATTTGATGCCAAGTCCGAATGCAGAGTAAAAACCGGGACCAAAATTTTTAATTAAATAACTCTATTGCCAAGGACCAAAATTTCAATATATGCCCTCTATCACAGATCATCCCAACTTTGTAGTATATCCGAAATAAAATTTGATGCCAAGTCCGAATGCAGAGTAAAAACCGGGACCAAAATTTTAATTAAATAACTCTATTGCCAGACCAAAATTTCAATATATGCCCTCTATCACAGATCATCCCAACTTTGTAGTATATCCGAAATAAAATTTGATGCCAAGTCCGAATGCAGAGTTAAAACCGGGACCAAAATTTTATTTAAATAACTCTATTGCCAGGGACCAAAATTTCAACATATGCCCTCTATCACAAATCAAAGTTCAATTTGCTCGAATTAGCGTACCCCTCTACCACAAACTATGACGTCCACTCTCCCCACCCAGTGCAATGTGGACCACTGATTTAGGCCATAGGCCCTTCATGATCGTCCATCGACCCTATGGAAAAGCGTTGCCCTAGGGCCGCATAATATATAGCTGTCTCGTCCCCTCGCGCCTGCCAGCGGCGCCGAGGTGGGACTAATGCCCGCGCGCCTCTGGTGCTCTGGGTCATGACTCCTGACAGAGGGAGAAGCCGCAGCGACGCTCTGCCGTTGGATCCTGCCCGGACGGCTGAGGGGCTTCACGCGGCAGCATTGACCGGGACACCCGAGCGCAGTTAGACTGGGCCGACGAGAGAGATCGCTAGATGGGCCAAGACTGGTTGTTGGCCTTTCTAGCGGGAATTCTAGCGCCGATCTGAAGTTGGCTTCTTATCCGGACCGATTTCGTCGCACTCGAAATTTGCCACGGCGGGGACTTTGTTCCATGGCATCTCAAACTCTCCTTTTCTTTTTCTTTTTGGAAGGAAACCAAATTCTCAACGTGAACGTGCACAGCTTGTGCGTGCCTTTGATGATGCGGATGAAAATACGGCAGGCGCAACAAAATTTTACACGACACGTGCAGGCTCAAAAGATGGCTTGTTCCTTCGGAGAGTGAGGAGGCGTGAGCTGCTGCCTTAATCAGCTGTTTTAGCAGAGGTGGATTGCACTATCCCTCGTCACATCGATCAGTGATTAGCCGTGCCATCAGTCAATCGCAAAAAACAAACGGTATGACCGGACATCCGGACGAACGCCCGGGTCCGGATGCCCGTGGCTGCTCTGCTTCCCACGCGTAGCGAGCGGATGACGCGGGCATCGCGCAACCGTTGGCCCACCCGATCCACCACCTCCTCAGGTGTTCACGCGCTCGTCGCCTCGTCAGGTAGCGTTCCCCACTGAGCGGTAGCAAGATGGAGGGAAGGGAAGGAAAAGGAAGGGAAGAGAAGAGAAGGAGGGAGAGTAGAGGGCGAGGCGCGAGGAAGACACGAGGTAGAAGCCGAAGCCCTGTAGCAGGCCGCTATCTGTCAGTCATAGGCACCATTGCAATATGTGCAACACCCCGATTTACTTTTGAAATATCCAGATGAAATATTTGCAACATACGTCTGAAGATAAATGAAACACTTGAAACATGCGCATGAAACATTTACAAAAACATCTGAAAAACACTTGAAAAGTCATTGCAAAAACATATGCAACATCGAGATAGCAACACCCAAAATAAACACACTTGCAACATGCTTCTGAAAAACAACTGAAACATTTGGAACACACGGTTGCAACATGCGTGTATAACTATTGCAACATATGCAACATCCCGATCTACTTTTGCAACATCGGTCTGAAACATTTACAAAACATGTATGAAACATCTGAAACACTTGAATCATACGGTTGCAACATGCTCTTTCAAATAATAATGTCACTTCACTACTACGCAAAAGATTTTTGCGCGACACCCTCCGGAGGCCACCGAGGCGGGCACCTATTTTTGCCCGTCACGGTAAATGCCATGGTTTACCTAGGCGGGCATTTTTTTTATTTACCACGGCGGGCATTTTTGCCCGCCATGGTAAATCGATTTACCGTGGCGGACGTCTTAAGATGTCCGCCGCGGAAAATATGGTATTTACCGTGGCTGACATTTTAGGATGCCCGCCACGGTAATCGATTTACCGTGGCGGACGTCTTAAGATGTCCGCCACGGTAATACCCTATTTTCCACGTTGCGGACATCTTATCAGGCGATCTACACATGTCATTTTTGGGATATTTTTCGTGGCGATATTGCGTGGCGGACATCCTAAAATGTCCGCCACGGTAAATCGATTCATCAAACATATCACCCACATCCTCGCACCATTGTCGCCGCCTCCCCACTCTCTCTCTCTCTCGGCTCTCGCCTCAGCACCCTCTCTCTCTAGGATAGGCTCCGCCCCCACTCTCCCTCTACTCTCCCTCTGTTTCGGTAGACTGCCTCCTCCAAGATTTTTAGGAGCACGAGGCCTGTTGCTATTCAAACCCAATTGGCGGATCGGATCGGCTAGGAGGCTTTGAGCATTTAATAAGATGTGTTGACTTAACCTATTAGTAGTAGACGACGATGACGGCTGCGCCCACCCTCTCTCCCCATGGATCCTCCATGAGCATTACAGCAGCAGCCGAGGGGGCTAGGGTTTCAAATCCAGTGGTTCATCTCCCTCTTCCTCTCCATCTCCCTCTTCCTCTCTCCATCTCCCTCACTCCTCCCTCTTCCTGTCTCCGAGATCCCAATGACGATGACCTCTTCCTCCATCCGGATCCGGCGGCGGCGGCGACCTCCTCCCCACGGATCCGTGGTTACCGTGCACTTGGATCCTCCTCCTCCGTGGATCTCGGGCGGTGGAGCGGCCGGATCCGGCGGTGGATCTCCACCACGCCACGATGATAAAGGATCCACCACGCCACGAGACGCCTGGGACCTCCACCACGGTGGGGCGAGGAGGCGATAAGACCGCGGCGGCAGCAGCCTCCTCCTCCACCAGATTGGAAAGTTGACTCGGTGACAGGATCCACGAGAGAGGCGTCGGGTCGCCCTCGCGAGCGGATCGAGGCGAGGTGGTGGCGGCCTGTAGTGGCGGCGTTATCATTAATTGCGTGTCATGGCTCAGCTTCTCCAGAGACGCATGGGGCCGGCTAAAATTGCTCTTCTTCTCCCTCGAAGCGGCACGGATGCGCGCGTGGGAAGCGGATCCGATCCGTTGCCGTGGGGCTTCGCCAAATGGGCTCGAGAATGGGCTCGCCATGGGCATGGTTCTGGTTTTGTTTTTTAATGATTAATCGCGCGGGCATCCTAACGTGCCGTTTAAACTCCGATGTGGTAAAAATATATGTAATATGTGATGGTGACCGCTAAACACGTTACGATCACACCGCCAGTTGGTGAAAATCGATTAATCACCGGGCGGCAAAGCAAAGCCGCCCGCGTGGATGATTTTCACTTAAATTTCGTGATAATTGGTCACGATTTATTCTGAGGCGTGGCTTTGGTTCTAGCCGCGGGCGAGGTGGTGGACACTTTTGCCGCCGCGGAAAAAACGAACGCCGCCCCAAAGAAAGTTTGTGTAGTAGTGCTTGCATCGCTTGCTTGGGACGAATGGAGGCCTCTGCTGTTTTTAATGGAGGTCGGCTAACATGGCGCATGGAGCTCGTTGGTGCCTAAGCGGACGCTGCGCCACCACAGGGCAGCGAGCTAGCGCAGGAAAACCGGCGATCCAAAGCAGTTTGTCAAGGCCACGAGAACCCTAGGCGAGCACCTGTGCGAGGCTGCGAACACCCTGGCGAGCTCGACGAGCACCCCCTTCTGGTTGGGCGAGCATCGTTGGGTTAGAGAGATTTTTTTAGAGGGGCAAGAATGGGAGCAAGCAAACGGCGCCGTAGCTAGTGTGAAGCCGTGTCCATCCATCCAAACGTCCTCGATAGAGCATTATCGAAAAACAAATCCTGCTCGCCACATATCCTATTCCAAGCAGGCTAACACACAAACAGTAGATCTGGTTGCACCCAGTGGTAGCCAGGGGTGGAGAGTTAGTAAAAAATGAAGGGGGTACCCATTTTACAGTCTCTTGACTGCTAGCAAAATATTATAACAGCCGGGTTTTGAGTGTGGATACTGATGTTGACTATGGGCGTGATTGGTTGTCCTGCTCGTGCCGTCCGAATCCCCATCCGATATCAAGTGGTGCACTGTGGTCATGTTTGGTTCCCCTCCTCGCACGTTTTGTCTGCTTCGTTTCATTCATCTGCCCTCCTCCATCCTGCACGCATCCGTCTTTTCAATTTCACCTTCCCTCGCGAACCGGGATGGCTTCATACACGCATGGTACAGGGACCCATGTGTCAGACACTCAAAATTTTGATGCATGCGTGCAACTAAACACGATCTCGTTTCAATATGGACCAACAACAAAGACAACCAAACACAGCAAAGTGTATAGTCTTATCATGGCTAGAAAGAGCCTGGACAGCCACTGCATCCTGGCTCGCTGACCCTTGAGCAACCAATCACGCCCTATAGATCCCGTCTCTGGTGGTGGCTCGAGATCGAGAGGAGAGCGTCGTGTCGTACGTTCAGATTTTTCATAGCCTTACAAGTTACAACTCCGTGATTGTGACCACAGACCACTACTTTGGTTTGCAGTCCAGTGTGCCAACGCGTGGTGATCTTGCCGCCGTGTAGAGCTCCGTACCGTATCGACGTCTAGCCATCTATTTCTTGGCCCTTTTTTCTTCTTCTTTCTTGCTTTCTCACGCCATCACTCGAGTGCGGTATGTATTTTCGTTCCGTGCGGAGAAATGAATATTTGAAGTCCACGCCGGCCGGTGGTGCTCTCTGACAATGGACGCACCACGGTACGATTTGCTTCTTAGGTTGTGGCATTTGTGATTTGTGGTGTGAAAAAAATATGTCGAGAGATGGTAGATGGTGGCATATATATACACACACACGCGTGTTCATCATGGACAGGCAGATCGTGGGTATAGCACAAATCGCATAAATACGTAACGGAGCAGACATGATCTACGTATTTGGTTGTGTTCGTCGGCAAAACACCGTCGATTCACCGACGACGTCCGATTTGAGTTGACTGGAGATGAGCGCACTGTTCATAAGACGTATTTTTTCAGTTAATAAATAATATTTTTCTCTCACAACAAATCAGCCAACGGTACTTTCTATCATGGCTTATCAGCCAAGCGGCGGAGATCGTTGCCTGATCGGCGAGCTGCCTGCCAGGACACGCTCTGAACAGCTCTTCACTCAGTGTCAGTGCCCTATAGCTCCACACAGCTAGCTAATATATGCAGATGCTTACTATGATATATAGCAAGTGTCATCAGTGTAGGCCATAGACTTAATGAAAGCGATAAAACGGTCAAATTAGCACTACCATGCGTATAGTACGAATATGACACGCCTATATGGTCCTAAGTACCGTACCTTTCGTCGTACAACAAGAGGACAGGACAATTTTGATAAATAGCGTGGAAAGAAATGCAGTGTGTGGCTGTGGAGTAGTATTTGGACTCTGAATTTCTGGTCTGCGGCGCAATACGTCATGCCGTACCACGGTACCTACTAACAGTACTGTATACAAAGTTAGGATTAATTTGTATGTATATATACCGTTATAAGTATCGCTTTTTGTATATACTGATATATTATTTGTTATATTGGCGCCATGCCATTAATATTTATAACAAGAGCATCTCGCATTACATCAGTCTACTTCCGTGTTTGTTTCAAATCTGCTCCTCCCTACAGGCGAGCTTGCCTAGGGGCCCCTCGCCAACAAGGTCAACCACCATGGACTATGGCCCGCTGCTGCTCCTCTCGTGGCGAATGGCGTTGTCAGAGCGGATAGAAGAGGACGACGGATGGCGCCAAACACGAGGGCATGATGCGGGGATACATACGGTGTAGTAGGACATGACTTGGGAGGAGGAGATGGTGCTGGCTGGTGGCATCGTGTCAGTGGTCAGCAGCGACCCGACATCATAGGACATCGGTGTATAGGTAGACGTGCCGAGGAGGAAGTAGAGTGGCGTTGTGGCGCCAAGCAGAGAGGAGAGAGAGAGAGGGGGAGGGTCAAGGAAGAAGAAATGGACATTTTTGTCCATCCAAAATATTGATCCGTGCATTGTGCATAGATCCAGCGTAACCAGAGGCGTATAAAAGTACGATACAGAGTTGCGATGGCATGGTTACAACACAACATACTTTAATGGAGTATCTTCGGACCGTGACAATAATTACAACGGGTATACATATCTAATTAACCTTACAAGCTAACTACACACGCGCCCCCGTTGAGAGGTGATGCATTTTGCCCTAATTGTTTTAGCAAGAGCCGGCGGGAAGCCCTGTTTGGTTGCTTTGAAATTTTCTACATCTGTAAATACAATACAGGTGTAATTTGTTGTGCACAAGAAAACACTTGGAATGGAAATGAATTTTTACAAGCCTGGAAAATGCTGTTTGGGTGAACACAGGCAAACTTTCAGCAGAGCAAAGCATCATCACATCACGGTGGACGAACTGAAAGTAATTGGAATCTACACTGACGATTGAGCGTGAGATCTGAACGCAAGAACCACGATTTCACTCACCTCCATAACAGACTCGCAGGCGCTCACCTCCATAACAGACTCGCAGGCGCTCACCTCATCAGGCACGAGAAGCTGCTGGTTCTGCCGCTGCGGCGGGCACACTGCCGCGGTGCCGCCCACACGCCATTGCCGACGACCTGCGCGAGACGGGTCCGTGCTAGCGCAGTAGGGCAGCCTACCTCCAGGGCTCACGCAGCCTCCGCCGGAGTGCGCTGCCAGGGCGAGTCCCTCGGCCCGGAGTACCTCCGCGGCACCCTCTGAGCCCCTCCACTGCCTCCGCGCACGCAACCACCGCACCCAACTGGGTTCGACATCAGCCGCGGCGACTACTGCTCCTCATCGGCACTCGGCACAACAGTCGGTCTTCGTGGGTGCCGTCGCCATGGATGTGGTGGCCACGGCCGCGGATCCGCTCGCCATCACCGCGGATTCGCTCACCGTCTTCGTGGATTCGCTCCCCAGCGCTGTCAACGGGTTGGGTTCGGCGATGAGACTCGACCGAGCGGACTGCCCGATACATGTCGTTTTATTTTCCAGACCTTGGTACACGATTGTTTTTTTTTCAGCCGGTTTTGATTCAATTCGGAGGTAAAATAAGGACGTGTTTACTTACTATCCTCCCTATTCCATCGAATATTTACGAGACGGATCTTTTAAGTCTAATTAGTCTATGATTTGACAATGTCGTGCTACAATAACACACATGTGCTAATAATAAATTAATTAGGTTTAATAAATTCGTATCGCGCATTACTAATGAATTCTGTAATTTATTTTTTTATTAATATCCGACGTCCTATGTTGACACTCTAAAGCTTTACATCATGGATTAAAACAAGGCCTAAGTGGCCTCACCGTCCATCCAAACGTTTTCAGATATGGCTTGTAAAGTTTTGTGGGCTGATAATTTACATTGGTTTTGACTAAAAAACCGGGCTTCCAAACAAGCGGGAGCGGATTGGATTGTTGGATTGCAAAAGTCTTAGCTCGTGGGCTATTACGATCTAGTTACTGTGCATGGCAGGGTCTCTCCTCTCCCCGTGCTGGTGCTGCTCCTGCACCACCATCAGATCTGATATTCTGATTCCGACGTCACACACGCCTGCAACAAAGGTCAAAATGCAACCGCGACCAACCACCTAACCGTCCGTGCATGGCGGCCTTCCCTTGACATGAAGCACGCATCGTCCCACGCGCGGCGTGCGCCGGCCGTGATGACCGGACTCGTGTTCGTCGCGTCGCCCGGCCTTGCTCCGATCCGTCCCGCCGCGGCGTGGGTGGCAGGGCGCCAGGGCAGCAGCCGCCGAGGGAGGAGGGCGAAGGCGTCGCCGCGTCGGTCAGCTGGGGCCGGTGGCGACGTGGGCGCGGCAGACGGGGCACCGCGACACGGCCTGGACCCAGGGCACGGCGCAGGACCAGTGGAAGCGGTGCGCGCAGGGCAGGCGCGCCACCACGTCCCCCGCGCGGAGCTCCTCCAGGCACACCGCACACTCTGCCTCCGCGTCCGCCTCGGGCGGCGGCGTGCACCGTCCGCCGGGCAGCCCACACCAGCCGAACCGGCCCGCTCCTCCCTTCCTCGGCCTCGACGGCGACGACAGCACCTCCCGCTGCAGCAGCACGCCGCAGGGCGTCGCCGTTGCCGAGTGGTGGCGGTGGTGACCGTCGCTGTCGCCGCCGCCGCCCGTGCCGCCGCGCGCTGCGTCGTCGTGCGGTTTGGCAGGCGGGGGTCGCGTGCTCATCTGATGCCTGCATCGAGGGTATCACCGTTAGTTCTGTCATTCATTTCAGACCAGCAGGGAATGTCGCAGATTCTGAATTTGGAAACGTAAGTTCGGTTAATCGGCATTCCTCCTGGAATCAATCCAGGTGAACTTATACAAATTATACAAGCAAACCTGGTAGAAATGATTTCAGGCCACAGTACCAATGAAACGAACGGGCCCTAAATGGGAACTGTGCGTCTCATCAGATTTTGGTGCAGAAAGTGCGTATAGCCTCATCATGGAATTTTGTAAATTCATCTAGGTGTACGCACTACCATCTCCTAAATTGAACAGTATCTAGCTAGGCTGGCAAACCATCATATTCGTCACGCCACTGTCGGGTCCTTTCTCTTTTTTTTTCAAAAAAAAAAGCAACACTATTGAGCGTGGCATAAGGGAGCGTTCGGCTGCACTCACAGAAATACTATTCACGTTCGATGACAGAATAGTATTTTTCTCTCATAACAATCAGTCGGAACAGTATTTTTTAGTCCTGCCGAATCGACGGAGAAGCTAGCTACCACAAACGTACAGTAGAGGTGGAAATGGTGCGGCTCTGAACAGCCGTACAAGCAAAGCAGAGCAACAGCAAGCAACGCACCTCTTGAGCACCACAGGTTGTCTCTGGGCCCTGAGCTTGTGATCCAGCCTCTCCTTCGCCTCTCGGGCGTCGCTGGCCAGCGTCGTCGTCCATGCGCGCGACATCGCCGCCGCCGTCTCTCCGCACGCCGCGCCACTCCACACCCGCAGCAACCGCAAACATCGTAAGACTATCTCCAACAACAACCACTCAAAATATAAAATCCATTTAATGTTTAGGTAGCGCTACAGTCAAAGGATTCCATACTCATTTGGCATCCTCTTCAACAACATGATCCAAAATAGAATCATTTTTGCAATTGGGTTTCTATGAGAGAGAATACTCATATTTGGGTTGTAACTCTCGGACAACCCAAAATAGGTCTCCCGTATAGGTACTCTGTTAGAGACTAATTTTAGGTCTCCTGCTACCTATTTTGGGTTTGGGTGCCCATATGGTTCACGTATTGGAGACAGACTGTCTTCAACAACCGCGACCAAAAATACAAGACCTATTTATCCTTTGTGTAGTGATACAGGCAAAGAGTTCAATACCTATTTTTGGTCTTCTCCAACAACCAGACCCAAAAGACAATCATTTCTACAAATATGTCTTTAGGAGAGAGCATACTCAGATTTAGATTATATCTCTTTCAACACTTAAAATAGGTCTTCCACATATATATATATATGCTGTTGGAGGCTATATGTATTATGTTAAAGACTCAGTTTTAGTTTTAGGTTTCACGATGGGCCTCCAGACAGCCGCCACCACATGCATGCGACATGAACAGGGTGATGGCGAGCAAAGTTCTTACCTCGGATGAAGCTGCTGCCGACGACGACGAACCAAGGCCACGTCGAAGCCCGCCGGCGTACAGGCACAGGGACGGCCGCCGCGCCGCGCCGGCCTCCGCCGTGCCGGAGGACGACTGTCGGACCCGCCGCCGCCGCGCGGACTCCACGCCGGGGAGCATGCCGGCCATGATGACCATGCGCCGTCCGTCGGCCTGCACGCCCGCGCGCGCCTACCGGCACAGAGAGAGGAGTCGACGACGACGCGCCACCTGCGCGCGCGTAGCCTACCAACTTGCTACCTAGTCCAGTAGTTCTACCTAGCCTGATTGAGATTGCGCTGCCTTCGTGCACACAACTCGACCGGCGCTGCGATAGCTGCTACAAGCGATCGGTGTACGTGGACGCCCTCCGTCGTGCGGGGCAGGAAGAAGACGACGAACACAACAATCTCGAACTCCCACGACCACGACCAATCATCAGCGCCATCCCGTTTGGACGGGGATCACAGCACGAGCAGCTAGCTTTCTATCCACAGAGAGGATCGGAGGAATTCGGAGGAGGAGAGCTCATGCTGATGGCGTGCCAAATGCCAATAGCCCAACCACCTACACCTCTGCCTCTGGCTCTGCTGATGACCGGCCGGGACGTATTTATATGCGACACTACCGAGGGAAGCTAATGGTTTTACGGCTGATAACAGCCGGTTAATACTTTGGTGTGAGAGGAAAACACTGTTTATTAGTTAGGAGGTGTCACATCGGATATCATATCTATTATCACATCGGGTGTTTGGATATTAAGAATAAAACTAATTACAGAAGCCATGACTAATTCGTGAGACGAATCTATTAAACCTAATTAAGCTATCACTACCACATGTTTACTGTAATACCATATTATCAAATCATGAACTAATTAGGCTTAATATATTCGTCTTATAAATTAGTCTTAATCTGTATAATTAGTTTTATAATTAATCTATGTTTAATACTTTAAATAGTGTCTAACATGTTTACAGTAGTCGATGACAGGGACTAGGTGGAAACCAAACACCGCATAAGTTCGAGCTTACTGCCTTCGCCATTACCCTGACACTGAACACGACAAAAGAAAAACATTGTCGGCCGGTAAATATTTTATTTTGCCTTGAGGAGAGAGGAGGATCATTAGGTTTGGCCGCCATATCGTATATACTTTGCTCCGAGGTAAATGTGAAAAAAAGAACATTCCCGCGCAGAATTAGCTGACCTATTCTAGACGTGGTTGGTGACGCGCTATTCCTTGTTGGTTATTGTGCTTCCAGTATTGTGAGGTTAATACCAACCGGTGGGTTATTTTTAGATAAGTACTAATAGTAAGTACTAATAGTTACTAAATCCGTTCCAAATTATAGTTCGTTTGATTTTTTTATCTTAAATTTAACCACTAGTTTTATTCAAAAATTTGTGCAAAATACCACTTCTTTTGTTGTGGCTTGCTTTATTAACAAAAGTTCTTCAAGAATGACTTAAATTTGACTATGTTTGCATAGATTTTTTAAATAAGACGAGTAGTTAAACTTGATGTCAAAAAAATCAAACGAACTATAATATGAAACAGAGGGAGTAGTTGTTAATAGGCGAAGGTTAGGCTGAAGCTACCAAGGACATACACAAAGGATGAGCGAGGATGATAACAATCTCAGGGCACATCCAATTCAGCATCTCGAATAATCAAATCAAGGGTGCAAGGATCACTGTACTTCGTCATCACATCCACATCTTTGGCCGTTGCAACGACACTTTGGGGTGATAAATATACACGCTTGAAAACAACAGGCCTTGACTTAGAGAGTGTGCACCGTACATTGGGAGGGCGTGTGACGTTAGCTGCATAGAGAAGAGATAACCATGATAACTACCACCCACCAAGAATTTATACGCAGTTAAATTGCTTATCTAAAAAGGGCACTTCTCTAAAAAGTTGTACAGATAGATGAAAATCACGCTCGGGACAAAGTCGTCTGACTAGTTTCTGCGTTTTATTACGAATGAGGTGTGTGAGAACTGAGAAGCGCAATCGGAATAAGTTGGGCTGACCTAACTTTTTTTATTACAAATGAATGTTGTGAGAAAAATATGGTCAGAAAAAACTACTAATACTCAAGCGAACCTTGAGTGAACCACTTAGCAAGTTGACTCAAGCATGCAAATTAATACTCTCACAATCCTAAAATACAAAGGCATCATAGAAAAGAATTCTATAACATTATGGTATAAAACAAATAGCACATGCAACCTTTCCTTGATCACAAAGATATATATTACAATTACTATATATATTTGAGTTGACAATAGGCATGAACAATGGGTATGCACGTAAATATTACCTTTTTAAACTGAGCCAAGGTCGGTGTGGAAAACTGAGCTGAGGTTACTTCATCTACAACTTTTTTATAAACTAGCAGGATAAATTTTAAATGCTTGGACACCACTGAAAACTTTATGTTTTTACGCCCATAATAACATGCAGCATACTACAACCACAACTACCTATAGCAATGTACATGGCTTAGGCAAAGAAGGCAAGCAACCTCATGTCCTCGTCCGAAAAGAATGTAACTTTAGATTTAGGATAAGTCAAACTCTCTTAAGCTTAACTAAATTTGTATAAAAATAATACAAAAGTTTATGTCTCTAAATAGGTGTACTACAAAAATATATCCCATAATTAATCAAATATTATTTTTTAGTATTATAGATTTTAGTATTCTTAGTATATATCTAAATAAATTTCAATTTTTTGACTCCACTAAACATGAAAATTTTATTCTTTTCTGAATAAATGGAGTAAACAGGAGGAAAAATGATACTATAATACTAATACTAATAATACTATTAATACAATGATAAAATCATGTCGTGCGGATCCATTGGCGGTTCTGATCCTGTCACGAAGACGAGAAGTTGTTGGGGTGCCCGATTTTTTATTTTTAGCTCTTTTTTGAAAGTTTTTCATAAATACATCCTTGGAGAAAAGATTTCAGAATCTGGACCCTTAACTCGGTGCCATCGATGTTGGCGCCGAGCTAACACGTCTCGGCGCCAGCGTCCCTGGCGCCGAGCTCTTTGACTCGAAATCCACGTGGAGGTGACATGGCAGGGAGCTCGGCGCCAGGGTGACTGGTGTAGAGCTTATGTTTTAACTCCGGCCCCAACCTTCCTGCCGAGCCTTTTTCCTCTTCTTTCTCCTCTCCTCTTGAGTTTTTTCTCTCTCCCACTTCGCCCTACCTCACGAATCGACATATTGGACCTTGGAAACTTTGATTTGATCCGTAGATCTTCGATAGCAAGGTATTCTCACTCTCCTCCTAGTTTTTTTCGCATCGATTCGGTATATATTAGTCGGATTTTTGAACCTAAGAATCGTCATTACTTAGGGTTTCATGCAATTTTAATATTTGTATTATACCTAGGTAATCGCAGCGCATGTTACTATGTTTTATGGTTTCATTGTTGTGTATAACATTGGAAACCCTAGGGTTAGGGTTTAATGCTATTTGCTTTCGGTTCTTAGAACGAAATTGATTGTATTGTAGTTATGGTTCTCATTGATATTTATTTGTGATGTTTTGATTTATGTTTGTTAAATTACATCCATTTTGTTAGATGTAAGAAATGTTTTGGGAGGAGTTTTGGCGAAAACGGGGTCGTCCTCGAGAATTATACCCCGATGCGTCTAACAAAGATGCCCCCGTCCCTCCTGGCCTCCCTGTCCCTAACTATGACTGTGGTTTCCCGGCCCATGTTTTTCAATCGAAACATCCGGACACAGCGACGCGGTGCTTCTACACATGTAGTCGTTTTAATGTAAGAAAATGTTTTCACTATCTTTTTTCTTTATTTGTGTAAGTATGCTACTAATATTTTATTGGAATCTCGTTGTGTAGGATCATGGGATGTGTTTTTTTTTCAGTGGATCGACGGTGCAGATAAGTTTGATCCTAGGTACCTCATTTTTGACGATTGGTTTAGAGGGAGACATCCACGTGAGCACTTCAAGCGGTGGGTTCCACCCCCTAACCCTCCACCAATGACGGCTAAGGAGAAGCACATAGCCATAGATAGACGACTCGATGAACCTCCTCTGTGCGATTGCGGAGATCGAGCTGTGATAAACCCTGAGAATACGTAAACCCTGAGAATACGTTGGAGTTTGTGTGTCCAAACAAGAATAAAGTAAGTGCAAAGTATATGTGTTGAAATATTGAGCTATATGTGTTTATGTACTAATGTCACCTTATTTAGGTGTTTTCAATGGCAAAGTGTTGTCTCAAGGAGTGGTTGCAT